TAATATTAGCGATTTTATTTTTTAGGTTTTATTTTGGTAGTAAATGTATTCATATGAGTTGGTAACTTTAAAAGAAAGCGGAATTCTAATTAAAAATATTTTTTCACTGCTCTCAAAGAAGATTGATTGCACATGATCAAATCATAATGATAATGCGTAAACTGAAAGCATTAAGTATTGATGTTCCCGGTAAATGGTATTGGAAATTTAGAATGATAAAAATTCAGCGCGCATTTTATTTTAATTTGCCCACAATTAATAAAGATGACAAGAGGAATTCGATTAAATTCTTTATTGTGAATCTTTCCACACGTTTTATAAGACAATGAAAAGAAATGATTGATCATTTGTCTATACATCTCCAATTTAAATGCATCTTTTTAAATTTAAACAAATTCATCCAAAATTTTTGTATAAGTCGAGAATATATCAGTCATAGAAAGGCAAACTTCCTATTTTCACGACATCCAGTTATCGGATATGTCGCGTCCGAAGTAAATGAAAGGTTACCTTATCTTAACCAGTTCTTCATAATAATTGCAGTCATTCTTTTTTTACTTTGATCATGCTGATCAACATTTTTATCATCATACCATCATTTTTTCTTTATTGCTACAATAATTCTGGGAAATTTTGTTAAAAAGTTTTTTTATTGAGATCATTAGGTATCCTAAAAAAATGTATTGTATTCGAAGTTTAATCAACTCTCACGTATAATATCAAGTTGAGGTATATTCAGATACTAAAAGGTTCAACGTAAATTCGAGCTTTCTTTAGCGCATCAATATTTATATTCAAGAAATTGTAATATATTTTGATCTAACCAGACCACGAATAAATATATATATATTATCACACCCTCGGGATATGAAAAACTGTGATTATAGAGAGATAGTGACTATCTGAAGGTTAAATTTCTTATGCTTCGTAATAAGAGACTGGAAAAAAGTGACTATACGGGAGGTGACTATGTAGAGGTTAGACTGTATTTTTATATAAGCAAATATTACAGAAGCATATGAGTTTAGAATATTGACACATAATAGTAGACATAATATTAGAAGACCTGATAACAAATGAACTTGAAGTCGCTAAACAGTGGCAGTTTAGGAAGCGGAACAATGCCAGAAACTTTTACTGTCTCCTTCTTATCACATCACCAGGAGACACATACTAGCCGGGCTCCTAAGAAGGAGATTTAACCTGGCATCAATATGCTAGTCGTGATGGTCAAGAGACAATAATAATACTCATGATTCGATTTTATCTTGACTCTTTCATATACTTTATTTGTTCAGTTTCCTTGGGGGTTATATTGACATGCCAGAACATGAAATGAAAAATGCACGATATTAATGATGATGTTGTTACGTTACGAGATTCCCCCCCCCCCCAACAAAGATAAATCTGAAGAATTGTTCCAGGTCGGAAATGAACCCGGCGATTCAATTAATAGTACATGTATATCATTGTAAGACAAAGTAGAGCACAAGGCACTCCCTCGAAATCTGTAGTGAAACATTAAAAACTTTACAGCGCTCATATGATATCTTTCAATTAATTTCAAATTAACAACATAGCACACAAACTTTAAAGCTCAACGGTACACAATTTCACTGCATCTTTGTCAGACAAGAGAAAGCATGGATAAACTGAACATACATCGATTTGTCAAATCGAGAACATTTCTCCAAATCTTTTTTTGTTCATTTATTCGTTCAATTTCCCCGAGAGCCATTAGAGTTGATCTTGAATTTTGTATACAATATTGGATAATTAAATTACATTTACAACCAATTGGATAACATTTGCTTTGTTCCCCTTGATTATACTTGGTTGCAAGGTCAAACCACATTACACGTAACTGTCATCATCGTCATCTAATTCGTTGTCTTTCATCAATTCTCGTTTAATTCGAGCAGCGGTAGAACTTGTTATTGAAATCAAAAAAATTGCTATAATGCTCTATCATTCAAAAACAAAGCAGCCATGGCAAAGAAAAATGTTCGGATCCCATGATTTTTATAGGATAAATCAAATCATCAATGTGTAACGGAAAATTCAAAAATACATGTACTTTCCCATGTTCTAATAAAAAATGTTCCTTGCGAAAATTTTACTATACATCGTTATATTTATAAATGCAAATATACTATCAATATTTATATCTTGTTGATTGGTTCACCCAATTAAAAATCACGAGATCCAAACATTTTTCTTTGCAATGGTTATTAAAACAAGAGCACAATCTATAATTTACTAAAAATAAACTTATTTAACAATTAAATCGTTATAGAAATATAGTGATAGAAAATTCAAAACGTGCATGTATCATGTAGATCTTTCTAGTTTTACTTTTAACATTATCATAACGGGGTAGTACATTTTGTCCGTTAAAGTAAATTCTTAACTCGTTGAGTTATCTCACGCAGAAATGTTGTCATGATACAGGAGTTGCATACATGTTTTAAGAGCTATCAGACACGAATTTTGTCATGTTTTTCCTGAACTTTCCGCTGAACGTTCTTGTTAGACATGGCATTTCTAAAGATTCAAAATATCAAATGGAAATACGCTAAAGTTACCACAGAGGTGCACAACGAAAAATGTAACGATGAAGAAAAGTTGGTATCTTCAGAATTTCTTTTTTTTTTAACATTTACATATGTCCTTATAAAATGAATTATTGAATCTAGAAATCCAATCGAGCTTGAAATAATTGAAAACGAAGAAGATAACGTACCATTATTACAGAGTACCGATAATGAGACGAGCTGTACGGATTTAAAAACGCTGAGACGAATTCCTGACGATATTCCACCTGGTAAAATGAAGTTATATATTCTATGTGGAGTTTCATGGATGCCATTTTTTGAATTTTATCAAAAGATTAATATTTTTGATGATCAATAGCAACGTGGTACATAGTATTATGCGAATTATGTGAAAGATTTACATATTACGGAGTTTCTGGTCCATTTCAAAACTATATTCAATTCCCAGCGCCAAAGAGTCCTGGAGAGCAATCAGGAGCAATTGGAAAGGGACAACGAACAGCCACCGCCCTATCGCTATTTTTCAGTTCCTTTTCCTATGTCACCCCAATAGTTGGAGCAATAATAGCGGATCAATACCTTGGAAAATACAAAACTATCTTGTATTTCAGCGTGATCTATATAACTGGTCTATCGATATTGACAATAACAGCCACTCCAGCAGCGACCTCAATTGGCGCATCCTTACCAGGACTCGTGTTTGCAATGATAATCATTGGACTTGGCGCAGGCGGAATCAAAACAAACGTTTCAGTAATGGTCGCCGAACAATATACAAAAAAGAAGCCATTTATTCGAACATTGAAAAGCGGCGAGAAAGTGATTGTTGATCCAACATTAACCATTCAATCGATCTTCGCTTGGTTTTACGTGGCTATCAACGTGGGAGCTATCTCGCCAATTGTTACTACAACAGCGGAAAAATATCATTCTTTTTGGTTGGCTTACCTGATCCCAATGATTATCTGTTTGATCTCAGTGATCATATTTTACCTTGGTCGTAATAAATATGTGCACACACAACCATCACCAAATGGATCAGTTATCCTCAATGCGATCAAAGTACTTCGAATTACTCTGAAAAATAAACGAGACTTTGAAAAAGCAAAACCATCACAAATGATTCAAGATGAGCGAGAGAAAAATGAGGTTTCGTGGGATGATCAATTTGTCGATGAATTACGTTCAGCTATCAAGGCATGTCGTGTGTTTACCTTCTATCCACTCTATTCTGCCGCCTTCCATCAATTATACGCCAATTTAGTATCTCAAGCGGCGACAATGCGACCTGGGATTCTTCCCAATGATATCATGAGCAGCATTGATCCAATATCTTTTATTATTATCACTCCGTTGATTGATAAATATTTTTATCCTTTTCTGCGGGGATATGGAATTTCAATGGGATCAATTACGCGAATTTTTATTGGGCTGATGTTTGCGTCGACCGCAATGATGTTTAGTGCAGTGATTCAATGGTCGATTTATAATACGGGACCATGTTATCGAAATACACATTGTTTAGTTGATGGTAAAGCTACTTATAATGATATCAGTATTTGGTGGCAAGCTCCAATTTATATCATGTTGGCAATTTGTGGTGGTGAGTGATCAAATTATTACTGTTGACTTGATTATTTGTTCCGTAATTTTGACCTTTCACTATCGTTATTATTTCAGCTTTTGCTAGTGTCACGAGTCTCGAATTTGCATATCGAAAGGTAATTTAATTAATTTAATTTAATTTAATCGAATCAAATCATTAATTGTGATTCACTTAAATAAATTTACATGTTTTGTTGTAATGAAAATAGGCACCAAAAACAATGAAATCGATTATAACCGCGTTATATTTAACGTTACACGGTGTAGGAGCAGCAATTGGATTATTGATCGTCCCATTGGCTCATGACCCATATAATGTATACGTGTATGTGATTCTCTCGTTGACCACTTTTACCGCGGCATCGCTGATGTTTATCTTGTATCGAAAATATGATGATGATGAATGATGGAGGTTTGAGAAAGGATCAATTTGGGGGTGAATCGGACATTATTTAGGACTTTTACTAGCTTAATGTAATGATTATCACTATCTTCTTCACGTAACGGTTATCCCGCATAAGAATGATGTGCACAATGAGTTCATCATTTCGTAACATTAAACTATACGCAATCGTACCACCCTATGGATAATCACACCTCGAGAAAAAGTTGTGACTTTAAAGAGGTTGGGATCAAATTTTGGGAATTGTGTGATTATAGAGAGGGTGTGTGATTTTCCAAGCGCCCGATTACGATAATAGACCAAAAGAACTTACCAACAATCGGTTAGTCAAGGTAACACGTTTACAAACAAATCAGCATAAACATTACTATTTTTCGAGAACGAACAATGGGATATCGATAGCAAACGATCACAACAAATACGACTCTTGATTTACTTAATAAATATGAAGCATTGTATTATTGGGCGATTTTTCAACCCATTTTTTTATTTGATCAATAATAGTTACACGATTTATATGAGTATTTCACAATGCGTGCATATAATTTATTCCATATCGATATCGATACATACTGTATATAGCAAAAATCTTATGCCGACGAAAATTTCAGGACAATTCACTATTCTTAGTTCTTTTATTTACTTCCGGCCGTAACTTTTTTTTAACGAGAAAACTTTTCCCGTACTTTCCTGTCAACAAAATTATTTCTTATTTTACGAAATTTTTACAATGACTGGTACACGAACGTTAAAAGTGCTCACTCTAAATTGCTGGTAAACACTAATCCTTTTCGCTCGAGCAAACTTTAAAAACAAAGTTAAATGACACTTACTAATAATACTATTAACTATTACCACTTGAAAAAAAGGGGACTTAAATTCATTTCAAAGAAAAGGAACCAGCGTATGGAGGCAATTGCCGACGCTCTTGCCAAATCCGAATACGAAATAGTTTGTCTACAGGAAGTTTGGGTTTATAGTAATTTCGAGCTTATCAGAAATAGAACGAAAAGAAGGTTACCATATGCCAAATTTTATTATAGGTAATTCGATGAAAGTGTTTACGTCTCTCCGCGAAGGGAACATTCTAAAGTTTCTTCCTTGTATTAAAGTGGAATGCTCGGTGGCGGCCTAGTAATTCTCTCGCGTTATCCAATTCTAGAGGTAACACATCAACCATATCGTCTCAATGGTCTGCCAATTAAAGTCACGCATGGGGATTGGTATGTTGGCAAAGGAGTGGCTAGTGCATTGATTGATCATCCTGTTGCAGGAGTAATTGAAGTTTTTAATACACACGTAAGCCTTTTTTTTCCTTGGTTCATGGGTTAGAATTCGATTCCAGATAGTAATGTAAAGAATCTTACGTTTTATCATCGATAATAACAATAGACGCATGCGGGATATGGATCGAAAAAAGATGATATTTATCTGGCACATAGAGTTTCTCAGGCGTGGGAAATTGCAAATTTATTAAAGAATTCGGCGTCTCGTGGTCGAAATGTTATAGCGGTATTTATAATGTTACATACCTTAAGAATCTCGTGCACCTCCATCCAATTTATTCACTAATCAATAAATTAAATAGATGGGTGATTTTAATGACGAACCAGATAGTTTATTACACAAATTAATTTTACAACATGCTCAAGTGGCGGATGCATGGCAAGCTCAACATCCATCTACTCCTGCAAGCATATCGACGACTTCATTGCAGCAGCAGCAACAGCAACAACAACAACAAAATAATTTATTTGACTCTTCAGCGGCCGTAACTCAAAAAGGCGTCACCAGTGGTTCCCCGTTGAACACATGGAGCAGTAATTACTCTCCAAAGGGAACAACAACAACGCTAAAAGAATTAAAAGAACCAAATTTAGAGATAGGTCAAAGGATAGACTACGTTTTCTATCGAAAGACATCAAGATTCTGGTGTACCGGATCTCGTGTGGTATTCACCGACTTGATACCCGAGCTAAAATGTAGCTACTCTGATCATTTCGGCGTTGAGGCCACTTTTACGTTAGTCGGACGAGACAAAAACTCCGTAATTCCATTATCAATTTGGGAACAAGCTGCCTACGATAATGCCCAGGAATTTGAACCACTTATATATCAAACCATCTTAACAATCTTTAAACAAGATCTAGCGCATGCGATTTCCACATCACGATTTCAATTGTCATTATTTTGGATGTCATGTTTGGTGGTGATTTGTGGAATAGTGGTTGAAGCGTTAATTGCCGCGCAAATCTTTGATGCTTTTTGGCTTAGCATTATAATTCTGTTGATTGTAACTGGGGTCGCAATATTCGGAACAATTATTGGATTAATTGGGTTCTTGTTTGGTAACGCCGAAGAACGCGGATACAAACATATAATTCAAGAAGTTGAATCGTTTATCGATGGAAAGAAAGAGTATGATAGTAGACGTGCTAGTGCAATCACTCAAGAAGATAATTTTAGTAGTGATCGATCGGAGGAGGGTGGTCCATTGGTTGAGATTGAGGTTCGGAATCAAATATATTGATGATTATTATTTGAAGCGCGGTATTTTTTTTTACATTTTCATATGTATATTATTTTATTGTTATTGTTTTGATCTTATTTGTATTATTTGATCATTATAATTATTAATTTATTTTACTTGTTATATTTATCCATTTTTATTTCTCACATATATATATACACACATATATCTCCCTTATATTTTGTATTTTTAGAAAAAATCAAACTTACCTTTTTGGTGGACACGCCTTCGACATTTTCAACGTTTTCATATTTTCACGTTCCCGCGTTGTTTACTTTTATAATCACACTCTCCTCATCCATTGTTTATTTATAATTAGACGATTTTTACATTCATAAGATCTCACACATAGAAGATTACGTCGTTTTCTTAATTTATTGTTATTTATTACACTTTTCCATAAAACTAGATATATAACTTTATTTTATTTATATTGATTGGAGAGTGACTGACAACTTTCGCGTACTTTACATTTATGAGGTCAAAGAAAAGGAGAATGACATAAATAAAACTATTATTTCCTTGTTTTTTTTTGTTTTTTAAGCATAAAGCTATTTCAATCTTTTGGAACAGATTAATTCTATAGCGCGTCAAGTAAGCAATTGTGGCATACAAAAAGATAGCGAGGAAACAACCTCTTGTCGCATAATTTGATATGCGTAGAATGAATGATATAATCTTCGTACGAACTCGAGACCTTTTTGAATTTGTCAAGGAATCCACTTGTGCTTCATCGATTCAGTGCGTATAACGCTGCCTCAACTTTTATCACTAGTAATCTTGAGGCGATCGTGAAAAGTTGTCGAAACAATTGACCGATGAAAATTTCAATTTAATACTTTCGTCTTTTATTATTTTGGACCAGTATCTCACAAGTTGGATAAGTATCTGAAATACAAAAAACACGTTTGAAATTAATGTTATTTGACAAAAACCTTCAATAAAAACCTCATCTGGATCCTGAATTGAAGTTCGACTATAACGCATAAACATCCTAGACAACGTGCACAAGTTTCGCGAATTAACGCAAATTCAACTCGTACTGTTGTTTATAATTAGAGTTACAATGTTACCTTTGGGCATATGTTAAAGTCGAGCTTCGCGTAAAGGCGCGTTGTGTGAATTAGCACACGCGAACTCCGGTTAGCACATAGCCTCATTTGTGGTTTCTTGGACTTTTTTATCGACAATCAAATAGTGATCGTCCGGCGTTTGAATACTAAACCAGCGGAAAGAACATTTCCTCTTTTTAGATCTTGCAAAGTACATGACTAGTGTATTCTCGGCAGTATTTGATAATAAAATCTGTCATAAAGTTTATATGATGTCAAAGTTTATGTAAAGAGTCTGTATTCTCAGCTGAATTTGATAATAAAATATGTCATAAGTTTATACGATGTCAAATGAAGAAGTAATGGGTCGTTTTGTGTAATTATTTAAAGGGTCTTGTCAGAAAACTACTCGAATCTCTTGATCGAAAATGCAAACACAGAGACGAAAAAAAGGCCGCAAAAAAACGTATGTGGCTCGAAAACGACGATTAAACGCGTATCGCAGATCTAAACGTGAAGAAGGATACGGTGGACGAATGAAAGCGCGAATGTGAACATCACGAGTCTCATAATCGCGAATATCAGAAATCGTCCATATTTTGAGGTTATCAGAAAATAGATATTCGATACGAAAGTTGATCCATTTACTTTTTAACCAACATAGTGTATGGTACATGCATATTTTTTATCCCCTGCGAACTTAAAAATGCCACACAGCCATTTTTTGTATCATCATTGATATTCCATTTTTTACGCGAAACGCGTCTATCCCAATGAACGCGATTTGATAAAATATAGAAATCATATAAAAATTGCAACCCAAAAAGTTGCATTTTTTTTTTTTTGCGTAAATTTATTTATGTTTAATAGAATGAATCAGCCAATCGATCAATTGATCAATCCGACACGACAGCATCCCAAGGTCGATAGTTGATTTTCCCACATATAGATTAAACTTCAAATTTTTGTCCCAACTTTATAACATCTAAATTAGCTCAGAGTGTTTGTCGAGTGATATATATCGTCTATTTTAAAAGCAAGAAAGGGAAAAACGCGCGAAAATCATTCTTAAGAACGAAAACTTCGCGTAATAAACTAACCTTTCACTTTCAAAATGGACGAGAACGCAAATATAACCTCCCAAATTCACAACAGCAAGAGGAGCGCAAGCAACGCCCTCCCTTTAAAACGTAAAACTGCACCTTCTATTAATATTCCCAAGAATGACGAGATTGGACACGAGGTGAAACAAGAGGATTTGGTGGTGCTTCAAAAAATGAAAGACGCTTTGAATGTTGCGTTGCTTAAAGACCAAAATGACGTGTATTCGTCTTCTGTGTCGAACAATTCGAAAAACATAGGTATTATATATTGTAATTTTCGAGAAAACGCGTCGAAATCCTAATAATTTATCGTAATAACAACAACAACAACAATAATAAATAATATGATAAAAAAAAAATTAAGGAGAATTGTCAATACCAAAAAATCTTGTGGGACTACTCCGAAATAAAACCACGAGAGAAAACAATATACTCAAGCCGAAAGGTACGTGATGGTTTTTTAATTGACTACATCAGCATGATTTTTGACACTAAAATTTGTCTTTTTTTAGATAACACCTTAAACGTCGTCGACAATAGTCGAAAAATTACAAAGAACAATAATGCGCTTGTACAAATGTCATCCTCTGTTAATGCGAACAATCTCGGCAATCAGCAACGTCAAAAACCGTCATATCCAAACATGTCCGAACGACGACGACAACAGCATGATGATGAAAATCCCGTGATCGTGAACAAACCCTCATCGCAATCGATCAATAATTTACGGACTCATTCTACTCCCTTTCAACCATTGGATAATCTTCTTAATTTGCCACCACAATCACCACGATCACCACGATCACAACAAAATCAGGATCCTCCTCAAAATCCTCAACCAAATGATCCTGCCAATGGATTAATTACAAACCATCATTATAGGTTTCCCGGTAAAGAAAATATACCACCCGCATTACTCGAGGAATATTATCTCATTTTCCAGGAACTGCATGAGCAAGAACGAGTAATTCGTGAATGTGAATCAAATCCAGTCAGTAATGACACGCAAAGACAAGATCCCAATGGTGATTCTTCTATAAATCCTTCATCATCATCCAATAATAAGAAGAAAGTGGTGACGTCAAAAAGGTCAACTAAATCAAAGAAGAAAAGAAACACTAAGCGTAAAGCTGATGTTGATAATGAAAATCAAGATCCAGCCACAAATAAAAATAATAATAATAGCAATGAGAATATTAATGAGAATAACGACGACAACAACAACAACAACAACAACAATAATAATAATAATAGTAATAATAATAATAATAATAATAATAATAATAATAATAATAATAATAATAATAATAATAACAATAATAATAATAAAAAAAGCAACAACAATAACAATAACAATAACAACAACAATAACAAGAAAAATAATAAGAATAATAATAACATTATTATTAATGAGAATGACAAGGATCACAATCTTAAATAGATTAGTAATTGGTTTTTAATAATTAAAAAATTTTAATACAATGTCCCTCCCATCTATGAGTCAATCCTGAATTGAATTGAACAAAACCAAGTGCGTATTTATTTTACATGTTTATGCTGTACACATGAGGAATAAAATTACAAAATACATTTTAAATAATAATAATTTTAAATAATATTACTAAAAAAACGACATTAGTCACTATCTATATGCTAAATACATGTAGTTAGACACATGTTTCTGCGATAACTTTCTTTGGGAAGTTAAGAGTAGGTAAATTGAAACTCTGAACAAAGAAACCTAATCCACCAGTTAATGCGGTTTCAATGTGTGGCTGTTTGGGATTATTACAACCAGATTCAGATCCCACAGTGATATCAGCACCCAAAGTAGTAATAACTTGGAATCCAGTTTTAGCTTGTAATAATCCATTCATGATATCAACACTTAGAGCGATTTGCGGTTTTAATGAACCAGCGATTCCGGTTGATACGGTGACACCGACTGAGGGATCTTTTGGTGTTGTTGTCGCGTCGAATCCAAATTGTTGAAAGTTTGGGTTTTTATCGTCAAGTAAAGAAGCGCTCATGTGAAAATGGGGGTATGAAATTGATCCACCGGTGTAAACAGTTCCCGTGACAGAAGTTGATACTTGAGCGGAAGCGGCTAATATTAAAGATGGTCCAATATTAAATACATTGGGAACCCCCAACGGGCTCAATGGAAGCTCAAATATTTGGATATCAGGAGTACTGGGAGTCACACCGATTTCACCGTTGATTGAAAGATCGAAATTGAAATTCAAATTACCATCCATTGAGATTGTTGCATTTGTAATTTGAGGATTTGGTAAAGTAGTTCCTTCAATGTGCAATGAAATCGCTGCCTGTCCATTAACATAACAATTAGCGCAAACTAAAGATTCTCCTGTTCCCGTTCCATTGCTTCCGATCGATTGTCCAGTTTTAATTAGTGGAATATTTGGATGCGATGATTTCCCCGTCGTTGCATTATACAACATACTAAGATCAATTGTATTCGACTTATCCACATTCACCGCGCCGCTATCGTCGAAAACCTTGGCCAATCCACGACGATGATTTCGACGATGCTTACGACGACGACGTTGTTTATTCTTATCATTTGTCGATGATGTCGAGGTGGTGGGTTTTTCCCATGATAGATCGAATGAAAATGACTTTGACCATTTTAATACGTCACATGGTTTTGTGGTAAAGTGCACCAATAATTTGTCTGCTTCAATTGTTTTATTATTAGCCAAAAAGAATTGCGTCGTCTTGTTACCGAAGCACTCCCATTCATGACTAATTAATAGCATCAAATCTCCCCTTGGCCAATTATCCACCATTTTTATGTTATCACTATCTTTTATGGTAAGAGTGATGATGTCATCACCTTGTTTGTTATTGGTGCATTTGATATCGCTCACTACGCCAGTTTGATCAGGATTTAACGATGGAATATTTGTGTCGAATGTAATATCAACTCGATGTCCTGCTTCTTTTCCTTTTTGTATATATGTGCCACGAAGTTGACTTGATGGTTTAAATACTCGACCAACTTCACCTCCTGTTGGTGGTAGTGGTGGTGGTGGCGGAATATAAGGTATAAATGAATCATCAGCTAATGTGGTGGTGATGATCGAGTTGAGTAATGTTGATGCGCTGAAAATAGCACAAAGAGAAATTAAATATAATTTCTTGTTCATTTTGTGTGTGTGTGTGTGTGTGTGTGTGTGTGTGTGTGTGTGTGTGTGTGCGTGTGTATGTATGCCTGTATGTACAATGGGAATAATGATGATCTAATTGAATGAATGAAAGAAACGTCACAGACGTTAACGCGGTGGTGGCGAAGGAGAAAAGTGAACGATATAAAAATTTAAGCGTAAACGCTTTTTTCAAAAAAGAACTAAACGTTTCGTATCTTTTTAGCGCATCCCTTTTTATATATTTCTACATTTC